CACAGTCAGATAATCCAACTTAAGCAAATGACTTAATCTTATCTTGAAAGAAATTTTTATTTTACATTACATTCTGAAGATTTACTATGCTTATAAAAGTAGCTCTTGAGTACACAGTTTATTTTTTTTTCCTCTGGGTCAACCATTTTGCAGTCTGACCTATTCCTGTCTACGATCTGGCAATGAAACGAAGAAAAGAAAGTTAAAATTGTATCTTCTTATTCCTTTATTTCGGATGAGTGAGCGCAGAATCTCTGTTTTATCCAACCACAAAAGTAACAAAGACTAAAAGAAAGTAACAACAAACATCAATAATGGAAATAACTCCCCATTTCATGTCGGCAGTTATACATCCGGGATCTCTTCTCAGGGAGAGATCCGCTTACATTCGACGTATCAAACCTTGGGGATTGACGAGCTATTATTACGAGACGATCCAATCAGAACACGAGTCAACAAAGAAAAGAACTCTTAAGAAAGTGAGTTTTAAAAACAAACAAGGATATAACTAATGTCATCCGCAAACACAATATTACATGTAAAGCTCGAGCAAGGAAAAGAAAAGCCCAGTGAAAAGAAAGGAAGCGAAAAAAATAATAATCGCAGCCAAGATTTTGCGAAATCCATTAATGCTTGCTGTGAAGAGCGATGCTATTGGAGCTTGCTTTAAAGTAGCGTTCCCGAAACCGGGGATAACAAGTAAAACATGAAACACTCTGCTGTGTTTGCTTGAATGCTGCATCACTTCGGGGGTCTTATCCATACTGCCCCACATAAAAGAAACCAAGCGCCCCATTTAAAATCGGAACATTCTGTGTAATATATTTTATCCTTTCTCTTTCGAAGACTAAGACTATTCGCATATTTTTTAGACGATTTTGCTTAGCTATTAAAAAAAATTCTGAAAGGTTTTAGATTTTAAATTACGTCCAAAGCAGTGGCGTAGCTAGGGTGGGGCAAGGGGGGACATCTGTCCCCGGGCGCAGCATTCAGGGGGCGCCAAATTGATGTTGCGAAATTTTAGAATGAAATGTTTTCCGCTCTTGGCACAGAGAAAGGGGCGTAAAATGTCCAGTTGTCTCCGGGTGCTGAAAACCCTAGCTACGGCTCTGGTCCAAAGGGGCGTTTTATTAACATTTTGTGTGTTACCTTTATTTATTAAATATCATGTTGTTCGCACTTAAACGATAAAATTCAGTTCAACAGCAATATCACAAAATAATTTTAAAATGAATTTCTATCTTTAGAATTTCCGATATACAGTCTCACGCGCTGGAGATAAAAATGCTTTTTCTGTACAACGTTGCCATTGCTCGCTTTGAAATCCTTGAGTTTGTTAATCAAAATTCGTTAAAGTTTTACAAAATATGAAATTGACAATAAAACAAATTCCAAATTTCAAATTTGGGCTTTCAGAAGCCCATATTCGCAGTAGGATTACGTCATTCTAAGTTGAATGGCTCTAAATTGGATAAATTGGATGGACGTTTATAATGAACCAACGCAAGATGCCAAAACAAAATTAATAGCCCTACTGGGCAAATTGGCTCTTTGGGTTAAAATCTCCGCATTTTGATTCAACAATTATACATAGTAGTTGCATATGTGTACGTATCATTACATATTTACAAAACTAATAATGAGATTAAATAAGTTAAATCTGGATAGCGTGATTATTAATTAAATCTGGATAGCGTGATTATTAATTAAATCTGGATAGCGTGATAGCGTTATTAAGCATATTTATTTCAATTTAAGAATGATGTGACATTTACAAACATTCTCAGCGCTATAGACGAAAAAAAAAAAAAAAAAACCGTATAGAAGGCTGACTTTAGAATTCTTTGCACAGGAAAATTTCTGCCAGCTTTAACCGTATTTGATTTTAGGATGGATATATATTGGAAGAAAAGGAATCAAGGTACAAATTAACTTTTTAGTTATAATCAAGAAGTCCTTTTTAGTTATAATCAAGAAAATACCATTTATTCATGACATTTTGAGGAACTTTGAAATTTCAGGATTCCAGGCTCTGAAGTTTAAACCTTGCTTAAGAAGTTGCAATTATCAGTATTTATGGAATAAAATTAAATAATACAGTTGATTTAAAAAGTAATCTTGCAATAACAAGGTGCATTAACACAAAAAAGGAACAGAAACGAGACGATAATAATTAAGAGAATAATTTTTGCTCATTTAAGTAAACCAGGTTACAGTTCCTTCGTCAGCAAGAATTTAAAATTCCTTTGTTTCAGTAAAGAAAGCTGTTAATACTGGAACAAGTTACGATACTTTGGATAATTCTCAACATTCTATTTTGTGAAATATTTTCTTTAATACAAGAAAATTGTTAAAAGACGATATGTTAAGAAAAAGGAAAGGAAATAATTTTTAAAATAAATACCTATATGTACATAAGGAATACTAAAGAAAATCAGATTTATTCACCTAATTTTGTTAGTTATATTTCCCTAGTAAATGGAAAAATTATAAAAAGTTATTCGTTTATATTCTCCCCCCCCCCAACACACAAAAATGAATGGAAAAAGTTTCTCGTTAAAACATTCTTACATCTAAGAGAAAAGTTTTGCAAAATTCGAAACAGTAGCAGAGGAATGCAAAAAGAAATGAAAGCGTTATTAATACCCATACCTGAACAGTTTCGTGTTGAATAGATGGATGCTCTAATGTTGTGTGTGTTTATCTTGTCAAATGTTTGATAAAATTAAGATAATCTTTCAGATGTTACTGAAGTTCTTAATGAAACGAATTTATCATTCTGTCTTTACAATAATTACATTTCTTCATATGAGTTTAATATCTCATTTCATAGACGGCTCTAAAAAATGTGGTTTTTCTTTGTTAACAAGCAAAGCAACTTTTAATATTGCTGATAGGACCTTAAATATTGAAGATAATACAATTGTAAATAAGCATTTTTGGGGGGTAATTTGATTGTTTATATGTTTAAAATGAGGACTCTTTTTAAGAAATATTTGAACTACAATACTGAGAATTAATCAGTTTTTCTTATTGGAATCTCACTGATTTTTCTACTGAAACAATGAAAAAGAAACATGGCACATCGCAATTTTAGATTACCCAAAACGAAAGTTTCTTTGATTTAAATGTAACAAAGATGTTATCATAACTAATCTATAATCCCAGTGTTAATTAACTAATAATAAGTATAACAAATCCAAAAAATAAAAACCAGCCTGTGAAATGCAAAATTCTGACAAACTGCTTCAGTATTATGTCATAATCCTTTTTTCCCCCTCTTTTTTCAGCCCAAAAGCCCGGTAGCCAGAAGGGGTATTAGTCTCAAAACGGCATTTTTTGGCGTTTCACTTTTAAAGGCAAAACATTTTTAAATTGTTGCCACCAAATATTATCGCTCTGTATCATATTTAAAGAAATTAAATAATAAAGAATCTGCATGAATGCATAAATGTTTCTCGCATTGTGAGAAAACAATGGGAGAGTCATCAAATTCTGAATAACGTAGTTCTCCACCCGAACTTAGGCACCTAGAAGCTCGAATTTTGAATTTCGAATTTTTTTTTATTATCTATTCCATATTTTGTAAAACGTTCACGAATTTTTGATTAACAAACCCAACGATTTCAAAGCGAGGAATGGCAACACTGCAAAAAAAAAAAAAAAAAATCATTTTGAACTCCAGCGTGCGAGACTATCTATCTATGTAGAAATTCTAAAGATATGCTGTTTTTAAATATTTTGTGGTATTTCTGTTGAATTAAATTTTATGTGGTTTAAGTGAGAAGAACATGATAAATAAAGGTAGTAGACAAAACGTTAAAAGAAGTCCCTTTGGACGTAATTATAAAATCTGAAGGCTTTCGGATTTTATTTATTTTGAATTTTATGCATTGCGTGAATAAAGATGATTACCTATTTTGTTCGCATAAAGTTTCGTGAATGGCATTTGTTTGCATGTATATTAATTCCTAGCAACATTTCTATTATATTCATATATTATTGCAATTTCATGTGTTTCAAATATTATGTGCATTACAAATCGAGTAAAAACATTATAATCTAATGTACTTTCCACTTTTACTTGTTCAAAGCATTAAATTATGATCATAATAAAAACAAATTTCTTTTCAAAGAATCGATGCTCTGGAAATTTTTGACCCACGAGTCTGATTAAGAAGTTAAATTAATTAATGCTGTGTTTATCATTTAGCTTACTAGTTATTAAATTCTCAAATTTAGTTTAAATTAAGGAATAATGATTTTCTTCAAATGATAATACAATTCTTTCTTCGCTATAATCACTAAATTAAGTTTAATTTCTTTATTGAATTTTTGTGTTCTCCGAAGCATGATTTTAATGAAAACAGGAATGCTTTTTAGGTTTTAGTTTAACATATACTTGTAGTATATGTTAAAGCAAATATCACTAAATTAAGTTTAATTTCTTTATTGAATTTTTGTGTTCTCCGAAGCACGAATGTAATGAAAACAGGAATGCTTTTTAGGTTCCCAGAAAATTAAAATATTTATTTTCGTGCCATTAAAGCATATAGATCTGATAATTTAAAATGTTAGAAATAAGTGTAATAGTAATTATTATCAATATGTGTAATAATCCTAAGCTTTTTTAATTTCATTTCTACTGCAGAATTTTCAAATTTCTTTTTCTGTTGATCAGATTTGCTCATTAAGCCGCCAATCTACATGGCAAAAACTCTAGAGGGAAAAAAAGTTCTATTATACATACTAATAGATGTTATATTATTACATATCTATAATAGAGAATTATGCACATAAATGAACATTTCACATGCTGCATATTAAACACTTTGCCAAAAAACAAAACAATAAAAAATTCAACAATTGTTTCTTCAAATTAAGAAATTAATAAAATTAAGTAATTTAGTGTTTATTAATCCAATGTATTCCTGTCACAAATGCTTTTAGTATTCATTCAGGAAATGCCAACTAGTACTGAATCTCAAACGATAATGCAGTTTTTTTTTTTTTTTTTTTTTTTTTTTTTTTTTTACAGGTTTGCGAAAATGTCATGCAAATGCTGGGGGGGCACCTGAAGAAAGAAAAACAATTATAAATCTTTATGAAATTGATTATGTAAAGATATCTAAAATAAATACTGAATAAAAGACTGCAACTTAATCAAGCATGATCGAAAAAACATGATCAAATTTATATTGAACAGAAATCTATTATTTTGTTACAAAATATCAATTTCATTTTATGATGTCTTAAAACATGGATTTGTAAGAAAGTAATTTCGGTTTTTTAGTGTGAAATAAAACTAATTTTTTTAATTAACTTTAATTAGTCAAATATTTTCCATTTTGTTTGATGAATTTTCGCCAGCTTTCTAATAACTTTATAAAAAAGAACTCCAGATTTTTATCCAGTTACATGACACTTGGTTGGAAAAAAAAGCCAACCAAGTGTGATTTGAGCTCATTATTTTACTGAAAATTTTACGAACTAGTAAGTTTTGCAAACTTAAATAAATTCTAATCCCATTGTGAAAGGTCAAGACTATATGGGGATGCGGCATCGCTTCTCAACCAAGCTCCAATAGTTTCGTACATGCTGGTAAAGATGTGTCAAGCCTCGCATCATCGCCGTGGAACATGATTCTTTTACGCTTTGTCTATTTTGCTATTTTTTCTTTGATTGCTTCTTCCAGTTTCATAAGTTGTTGGCAGTAAACAACCGAGTTGATCGATTGGTTACTTGGAAGCAGCTCAAAATTCACATCATCTTTATAACCCAACCAAACTGACAACATAATCTTTTTCTGATGCAATTTAACTTTCGATATGATTTGTGCTGATTCATCATGTATGGACCATATCTTTTTTGATTAATGTTATTGTAGACTATTTGTTTTTCATCACCAGTGCTAATTCGTTTAAAAAAAAGGTCGATTGCATTATGTTTGAAAGGTATATCGGAAATATTGATTGATTGTATTAAGTGAAATTCTTTCAATTCACGCAACACCCAAATATTGAGCTTCTTACTAGTCTAAGACATCTTATGTGATTTTCAGTTGTGTGTGATACATTTAACATTGTGTAGTGTGTGATACATATCGTCCAGTTATATGACGATTAGCTTTAATTATAGCTTTAATTTTGTCATCGTCAACTTCAGAAGGTCGGCCAAACCGTTGGCCAACTTTAAGTGAAAAATCTCCAGAACTAAATTCTTTAAACCAATTTTGACATATGCTTTCTGTTAAGCAATCAATATCATAAACTTCGCATACCTGTTTGTGAGCCGCTTTCTAGCCTGTATGAAAATAAAAAGGTAAAATATGTCGAAAATGCTTATTTTTGCATCCCACGTTTAAAGTAACCGCAAACCAACAGTTATAAATAAAAATGCACGGAATTTGTTTCTGTAGCAACCTAAAAGTGTCAGTGGCCAAATCGCAAAAGAAAAAAAATATCTAAGACTGGCAGAAGAATAACAAAACAAACATAACGTTATCTATTTGCGCAAACCGAAATTACTTTCTTGTCAACCCAGTACCATATGATGTTCTTAGGAAAACATTAAATGTTACGAGCTATTATTTATATTCCTTTTACAACTGAATTATCTTTCCTTTTAAAATTTTCTGAAATTCTGAAATCTCTGCTGTTTCCTACGTGTTTCTTTAGTAGTAGAACTAAAGAATAATATTAGCTTGATAATAATTCAAGAAGTTCAATGAACTTAAAGGAAAAAAAAATATCATTTTCCTCTGCAGAACATATTATTTGCTTGAAAATTATTTGCTAGTGAAAGAAAGAAATGGCAATTTTTTTGTCTTAAAATTCTCTAACTATTTAATTGGTACGTATTCGAAACAAAGCTCCATTTCTTCGGTTAATAATTTTAAAATTATGTTATAAAAAGTGCAGGTCTTATACATATTCTCTCACTAAACAATATTTAAGATTCTTCTTCACCTAAGAAATAAAGTTTCTTGAAATGTGTATTAGAATCTCAGATCCTCAGTCAAATAGTTATACCTAATTGCCAGATACAAGATAAATATTTTTATAATATAATTTGAAATTAGGTTTTCGAAAATCAACAGGCATTAATTTAATACCCATTAGCAGTAAGCTATATCCGTATAAAATTCATTGCATCTGAAAGACTTACTTCATATTAATAGACTTGCATCATATTAGACTTACTTCATATTAATAGTATTATTATTTTAAAGACAATATCAAATAAAACTATCCTTCACCATGTTGGGAAGAGTTATAATGCTATATTCTGAACCGAGCCACCACAATTTTCAGAAATCACTCAAAAAGCCACTGAATTCATTCATATTGAAGGCGGTTATTGCAAACAGGCAAAGTTTGGGATACAGATTTTTTCCAAAAATATTTATATAATATTATACTTAAAATTAAAGAAAAAACTCATTTATAGAACTTCAACGAATGAGATTAAATCTTTTATTATAGTATATTTCAGCAATCATTGTTTAATTATTCCTTTTTAATATTATCCGCTGCACCAAACTGTCGTCCAAAGGCTGAAGAATATTGAGCAACTCAATTGTGGTTTTCATTGCCGATAACATCATCTGGTGTCCGCCGATAACATCGCGTCAAAAACATCGGGGACGAAAACGTCGCGGAGAAAACAACGCAAGGCGAAAACGTCGTGCAACAAAACATCGTGGGAGAAAACATCGCAGTTCTAAAAAAACGTCGTCAAAAATAAAGCGGTTAAAAAACTTCGCAGTTTAAAAACATCCTTGTCGAAAATATCGCAGTAAAATATAAAGTACCCACAAATAATCGAATGATGATAACATCGCAGACATGCTTTTTTCAGGTTTTGATAATTGTAAATGGATATTCTCATAATGATTTGTGAGCGCAATATGTAAAGAAGGATAATTTTTGCATTCACATTTTTTTATTAACTAATAAATTTTTGCTGAAAAAGTAAGAAGGAAATTTATCATAGAAAATTAAATGCAATTAATAGATTATATACTTCCATGAAAAATTACCTGTAAAAACTTGTTTAAAAAATTTATTATTTTAATGGCATTTGTAGTTACCTATGTCGGTTTAAAATTAAGTGCTATAAGTTATATTAATTTTCTATGTTTAAATTTCCTTCTTATTTTCTCAGCAAAAATTTATTAGTTAATAAAAAATATGAAAGTAAAAATTATCCTTCTTTCCATCTTGCGTTCACAAATCATTATGAGAATATCCATTTACAGTTATTAAAGCCTGAAAAAAGCATGTCTGGGATGTTATCGTCATGCGATGATTTGTAGATACTTTATTTTTTACCACGATATTTTCTACGACGACGTTTTCAAATTGCGAAGTTTTTGAACCCCTTTATTTTCGACGACGATGTTTTGTACCACGATGTTTTAGAACTGCGATGTTTACTCTTTGCGATGTTTTGTAGCACGACGTTTTCGCCTTGCGTTGTTTTCTCCGCGACGTTTTCGTCCGCGATGTTTTTGCCGCTATGTTTTCGGCTGTAACCGTGCATTTCTCATCCATTTCCTCTATAATAATTTGTAGTCATGTGGTATTTTTTGAGATCTTCTTTGTTTAGTTTTCACTGGCTTCAATTCTGATTGTATTTCAAAAATGAAAGTAAAGTGATTTTTTCATTTGAGATTATAACCATATAGCTAGCAAATTATATCCTCATCCTAAATCATATGGTTTCTAGAAAGCTATAACAGTCAAAGACGTACAGTAAGCGCCGCGTAATGTGGTCACGTTTGTCCAACAATAATCTTAATATTCGGAGCGCCTTTCTTTGTGTCAGCATATACAGGGAATTCACCGATTTCATCTTTACTTTCTTCAGAAAGTTTATTCTATTTTATGCTTCGATTTATTTTAGAAAGCCATTGGCAGATATTATATGTTATCTCCTTCTGTCTGAAGAAGAAAGACCTGTATCTAATCGTTCTCGAAGTCAACAAAATTACTAAAAATCTATGCCAATCTAAGCGAATGTTTGCTTTTTTGTTTAGTTTTAAACAGTTTTTAAAATAAAAACCAAGCAATTTATTGACTTACTTGGTAACATTTTTCAGTTATTTGGCAATTTTTTAAATTTATTTCCACCTTATTTGGAAAATTTATCTCGGCTTGAAAAATTCATTCTGTAACATTATGATAACAAATATTTTAATAACATTAATTGAACTATTGATTACAATAAGCGACGTATTTTCCAAATTTTTGTATACAAACAGCCGGGACTCCGGGCATTTGATAACGGTATCCCAATGTTAACATTAACCGCGATCATTTTAAGCGTCGTCTGCTGTATAGTTAATTTCAAATGACAGAAAAAAAAGTACAGGTCTTTTTTTTGGGGGGGGGTCGATTTAGCTTGAATTATGGAATAACGTTTTTCTTAAAATGATGATACTTTCATTTCTTTCTTCACTGTAATCGAAAAGAGAAAACAGTTGCCACTTGTGCATTCATTATACTATTAATGCATTCGGAGCATCGTATATAATTAAGTGGTACCATTTGGCAGTTTTGAGTTAGATCTCCTAATATGCATGCCTAAATTTCTACTCTTTCCCTATCGGCGATTTCCGGCGAACTAAATCCTCAGCAACAAAAATACCTGCTCTACCTTCCACAAATGTCGTCCGGACGCTAATAGCTGAGCGAAAACGCGCAACTCCATTAACGACCTTTTGACCTACCCACGGCGAAAGTCAGACGCACTTCCCCGCGCGCGAGAGAGAGAACGAGGAATCCCCAAATCCTCTCCACCCCATCTTCCACCTACACCCTCTCAACCGCCGCTACGGTTATAATCCAAATGGATTTCGAAGGCGCACAGATTTGCAGCGTGGGCGTGGCCTTGATGATGCCGGTGGCTGCTGTTGCAGCAATGAGGAGAGAGGAATAGCATTTAAAACACAGGAATACACAGGAGAAAGGCCATTAATACGTTCCCTCTCTTTCCTTTTAGTATTTTTTATGTATATTTAATAAATAATCTACATTTCTTTTCCGCATGAATGTCTCCATTAAATGATGC